TTGACAAACAATCATACCTCTGTGATGCATACAAGACTTGTTATAGTCTGACATAGTGTCATTTTGGACAAACAATCATGCCTCTGTGATGCCTTCAAGACTTGTTATAGACTGACATAGTGGTCATGCTCGACAAAGGCATACTGCCTACAAGACTTGTTATAGACTGACATAGTGGTCATGCTCGACAAAGGCATACTGCCTACAAGACTTGTTATAGACTGACATAGTGGTCATGTTTGACAAACAATCATACCTCTGTGATGCCTACAAGACTTGTTATAGACTGACATAGTGGTCATGTTTGACAAACAATCATACATCTGTGATGCCTACAAGACTTGTTATAGACTGGCCCGAGACCACAGTTATTTCGTAGTGCATTTCTTTTAGACAATAAATTCAAATTAAGAAAATCGCACCTGCTCTATCTCAAAAAGATTTTTACAGTGTAGTGTACTACTATTGATACAAATAATATCAAAATTATAGAAACTTCTACCAGCTCTAACTCAAAATATTGACAATTCTGTGTTAAGGGGGGCTAAAATTCAGTTTGACAGCTTCCGACATTCTAATTTTTGACCTTTTTTAACAGGACCAAATCACTACTTAACATAAAGATTCAGCACCCAAATTTTTTTAACATGTAATTTCATCCCCTTACTTAATATTTCATGCATAAAATATCAAGAAATAAATTGGGAAAGTGTATCAAAAAAAAGTGCAAGTTATACACTGTTCACACTAGGGACTATATTCGTAGACAACGAAAACCAAAGGACGATAACTGTGTCCTTGGACCTAATAGGATAGAAAGACTTGACCAATTTTAATAAAACTTTGCATGACCTAAGCTTAGGCAATTTTAAGATAGTTGGCCAAGTTTCATGGCCATAGGATATATATTATAGAAACTAGGGCCATTTTAATATTGAAATTTGGATGTTTATTTTTGACGTTTAAATCAAATATTTTCAACTGTCAAGATTTTGCCCTAAAAAATTTAAATATTGCAAAAATTTGCTTTTTAAATACTCTTGAATTTAATATAATAAGTATTCAAAGCAACGGAACACTCATTTGATTTATCAGATTTATTACAGTTATTCAAAAGTCAAATTTATATGAGCCTGTGCCTGAAAATAGAGATTTTCGAATTAAGGGAAGCCTTACATAAACATGCATTTTTTTCAACCAATTTGAAGTTTTTGAAGGTTTTTAACCATACATTATTCTTCCATATATATTAAATGTACTTTAAATGTAAAGAAAAGTTACAAAAAGCATACCACATGAGTATAAAATGGTCTTAGGCCATGTAAGACTGAGAATTATTTAGAGTCGATTTAGGCCGTAGCCCATATTTACATATAAAAATGCACACAGAGGCTATAAGGAATTGAAATTTGTTACTTTTTGCTCATTTCTATGCTAAGATGTCATGATACAAGAAGTCTAATTGCAAAAGGACTCTTGAATTCAACTTTTTTTTGCAGACAGTATGGTCTGATGACCAGTTTTTCACTTTTCAATGGAAAACTTGCATGTAGTTTTAGTCTCATTTGGCATATATTTGAACCACTTACTATCCTAAAGAACAAAATTATGCTTGCATATGAAATGAATAGGGTGTACTGATCATTGTAAAGTGTTTTTTTTACAGATTTAGTGAAATATTTGTGACGGACTACAGATTTTATGTACAAAGCTCTTCACATTTCACATACATCAAACAGGCCGTTTAACCAGGGACATAAATACAAATATTCTGCACATTTTTTCTGTGATAATCTACTTTTCTCTAGATTCCGAGTTCACAAATGGTTAATTAAATTTGATTTAAGCATAGAAACACAAATATCAGGAACATAAAAAGCTGTCAGATAGAAAGTCAGCATGGCTCTTAGGCATAAAATGGAAACTGCTTTAAAATGCTTATTTTAGCCGTATAATGCCAAAATGGGACATTTTAACAGAATTTCTGTCAAACAAAGATGTAAATCCTTTACTTTTATTGAGTTTGACAAATTGAAACCAGAAAACCATTCAGGAAAGTTGCCAAAGTACAGAATCTACATTTACGGAATTCATCTCTTAGGCCCGAGAACACAGTTATTTCGTAGTGCATTTCTTTTAGACAATAAATTCAAATTAAAAAAATCGCACCTGCTCTATCTCAAAAAGATTTTTACAGTGTAGTGTACTACTATTGATACAAATAATATCAAAATTATAGAAACTTCTACCAGCTCTAACTCAAAATATTGACAATTCTGTGTTAAGGGGGGCTAAAATTCAGTTTGACAGCTTCCGACATTCTAATTTTTGACCTTTCTTAACTGGACCAAATCACTACTTAACATAAAGATTCAGCACCCAAATTTTTTTAACATGTAATTTCATCCCCTTACTTAATATTTCATGCATAAAATATCAAGAAATAAATTGGGAAAGTGTATCAAAAAAAAATGCAAGTTATACACTGTTCACACTAGGGACTATATTCGTAGACAACGAAAACCAAAGGACGATAACTGTGTCCTTGGACCGACTGACATAGTGGTCATGTTTGACAAACAATCAGACCTCTGTGATTCCTACAAGACTTGTTATAGACTGACATAGTGGTCATGTTTGACAAATAATCAGACCTCTGTGATGCCTTCATGACTTGTTATAGACTGACATAGTGGTCATGTTTGACAAACAATCAGACCTCTGTGATTCCTACAAGACTTGTTATAGACTGACATAGTGGTCATGTTTGACAAACAATCATATCTATGTGATGCCTTCATGACTTGTTATAGACTGACATAGTGGTCATGTTTGACAAACAATCATACCTCTGTGATGCCTACAAGACTTGTTATAGACTGACATAGTGGTCATGTTTGACAAACAATCATATCTATGTGATGCCTACAAGACTTGTTATAGACTGACATAGTGGTCATGTTTGACAAACAATCAGACCTCTGTGATTACTACAAGACTTGTTATAGACTGACATAGTGGTCATGTTTGACAATCATACCTCTGTGATGCCTTCATGACTTGTTATAGACTGACATAGTGGCCATGCTATACAAAGAGTCATACTGCCTACAAGACTTGTTATAGACTGACATAGTGATCATGCTGGACACCTACAAGATTTGTTATAGACTGACATAGTGGCCATGCTGGACAATCAAACATGACAGTGGACTTACTATAGCCTTCAACAACTTTGCTGCAAGGAGATAATTAACAGCTGTCCTTTTTGGACATAAGCCTTCCAACATCTATTTTTTTTAGAGATCTAATTGAACTTCATTTTCATATTTCATTAAATATCTGACAAACACTAAATATTCTATCTGCTTGCACCCTATTTTTTTCAGTCTTACCGGACCACTACCTTCCTAATTCCTTCTATTTATTACATTGAGTTTTCTTGTTCTGTTTAGAGGCCCTAGAAAAATTTCCCATGCTTGAAGTATATGTTCTTATATTTTTACATTTATGGAGAATTACCTATATAGATAAACTTCTTGTGTGTTTATCCTCTTTTGGACTGTCAGTGGGTTGAAACTGTTATTCAATATGTAATTTGTTGATATAACCCTTCACCATGGCAACACTCTTCAATGTGTATTCAACACGTAACTCTTGGATATTACCCTTCATTTATGTTTTTCAATGTGTAATCAACATGTAATTTGTTGATATTACCTTTCACCCATGTTCTTCAATGTGTAATCAACATGTAATTCGTTTATATAACCCTTCACCATGGCAACGTTCTTTAATGTGTAATCAACACATATTTTGTTGATATTATCCTTCACCCATGTTCTTCAATGTGTAATCAACATATAATTTGTTGATATTACCCTTCACCCTTGTTCTTCAATGTGTAATCAACATGTTATTCATTGATATTACCCTTCACCCATGTTCTTCAATGTGTAATCAACATGTAATTCGTTTCTATAACCCTTCACCATGGCAACACTCTTCAATGTGTAATCAACACATATTTCTTTGATATTACCCTTCATCTATGTTCTTCAATGTGTAATCAACACATAATTTGTTGATATTACCCTTCACCCATGTTCTTCAATGTGTAATCAACACGTAATTTGTTGATATTACCCTTCACCCATGTTCTTCAATGTGTAATCAACACGTAATTTGTTGATATAACCCTTCACCCATGTTCTTCAATGTGTAATCAACATGTAATTCATTGATATTACACTTCGTCAATGTTCTTCAATGTGAAATCAACATGTAATTTGTTGATATTACCAATCACCCATGTTCTTCAATATGTAATCAACATATAATTTGTTGATATTACCCTTCACCCATGTTCTGCAATGTGTAATCAACATGTAATTCATTGATATTACACTTCGTCAATGTTCTTCAATGTGTAATCAACATGTAATTTGTTGATAATACCCTTCACCCATGTTCTTCAATGTGTAATCAACATGTAATTCGTTTATATTACCCTTCATCCATGTTCTTCAATGTGTAATCAACATATAATTTGTTGATATTACCCTTCACCCATGTTCTTCAATGTGTAATCAAAAAGTAATTCATTGATATTACACTTCGTCAATGTTCTTCAATGGGTAATCAGCATGTAATTCGTTGATATTAGACCTCATAAATGTTCATCTTCACACAAATGTACAGTTTGCAATGAATTCTATTCAAACTGGCCCCTTTTGGGAAGCTTTTAACTTGCAATCAAGTGAGCTTTTGTTCCATGTAAGAAGGTCTAAACACATCTTTAAAATGAAGAACAACAATAAAATCTATGTATTTTTGGCATTTAATATGTAATGTGTTATGAATTAATTACCACATAATCCTCCATTTCATATATTACTGAAACACTGATTTATAATATTGTTTCATGTCATGGAACCTTAATGTATTGAACAGCATATAAAACTGGTAGAATGTTAACCTCAACACAGGAACACAGTTAACAACGTGAAACATGTTTAATTTATATCTGACATAAATGACAAATGATATCAGAGATGACATAAAGTTATGTATATGTCTATTAGCACTACTTCCATTGTTTCTTGATGGACATATTCTTCTCTGAATCTTTCTGCATAACCTGTAATGATATAAACATTAAATTTATCTTTCTATAATATAATACATACCATCTATTAGGGATTTTATATTTGTTTAAAAGAGATGATTATATTATTGATCTATAAAGCATGCTTCTTATAACAGAATTTCTGTCAAATGTTTACAAATATTACATGTATTTATAAAGGTTACTCAGGGATACGTGTATTTGTTTACTTAAAGCATGTGTGCTTAAATTAAAACGTGTTTATGCTTAATTTGATTGGATAAACAGTAAGTTATTATCGGTTTAGGTAATATTAATCATGATAATTTCATGCTAGAATTTAAGTGCTTAATTATAGTACAGGTAGTCTAGAACTGTCATTTCTGGTTCACCTTTCCGACAGTACAGTATCGTTTCCCACCCACCCACCCGTTACTGAAAAAAGTATGGTTTCTCATCCACCCACCCTGTACTGAAAAAAGTATCGTTTCTCACCCACCCACCCTGTACTGAAAAAAAGTACATATGTTATGTAGTAAATAGTATGATCTGTTTTACTGTAAAAACAAATTTCTTCACCTTAGAGAATACTTTTCTATTGTAGATTGTATTTATATGTGAAGGCAGTGGACGATGAGAGCAAAATGGAAATTTGTGTTTTATTTGTAATAAAAATAAGCTTTCTGTGCTGTCGGGATGAGCTGATAACCAAATAATGGTGTTGAGTTTTTCTTTATAAATGATTTATGTTTATTTGAAGTGTTGAATAAGAACATAAAGGATATCATTTAATATTCTTGGCAGATACAACAGCATTTTGTTTTACATCAATCTTAAACAGCTTAACTTAACAACTTACGAATGTGGGTGACTAATCCTATATACTACAAAGACACACATCTAACTTATCAGTAGCTTACTACATTTGCTTTTCAGCTGTAAACATTTTGGTATCAAATTGATAGATTTATAAATTGGTTGTTTGGTTTAATGCAGCTGCATACAATTTGTGTCAGTGGAGAATGTTACAAATTACATCCCACTGTAAATGACAAAAGACTTGAACCCAAGTCCCAGCACTGATATGTTGCAATGGTCATGACAAGCCAGAATGATATGTTGCAATGGTCATGACAAGCCAGCACTGATATGTTGCAAAGGTCATGACAAGCCAGCATGATATATTGCAATGGCCAGGACAAGCCAGCATGATATGTTGCAATGGTCATGACAAGCCAGCATGATATGTTGCAATGGTCATGACAAGCCAGCACTGATATGTTGCAAAGGTCATGACAAGCCAGCATGACATATTGCAATAGCCAGGACAAGCCAGCATGATATGTTGCAATGGTCATGACAAGCCAGCATAATATGTTGCAATGGTCATGACAAGCCAGCACTGATATGTTGCAATGGTCATGACAAACCAGCACTGATATGTTGCAATGGTCATGACAAACCAGCACTGATATGTTGCAATGGTCATGACAAGCCAGCACTAATCTGTTGCAATGGTCATGACAAGCCAGCACTGCTATGTTGCAATGGTCAGGACAAACCAGCATGATATGTTGCAATGGTCATGACAAGCCAGCACTGATATGTTGCAATGGCCATGTCACCTGCACTTTATGTCAGAATATATCAATTTTATAGATATTGAATACTCTTTGAAAAACAAGGCACCTTGTACCCCTAAGTTTTATAGATAAGGAATACTCCCTGAAAACAAGGCAGATTTTGTACCCCTAATTTTTATAGATATTGAATACTCTCTGAAAACAAGGCACCTTTGTATCCCTTATTGTGTTTTCAAAGCAAATTTAGACATTCCCATTGGAAGTAACAATGGTTTTCACTTATAAGAATGTATTCCACCATCTGTCAGTCTAGATAGTACACAGCACATTGGCCTAATGGTATATCAATAGATTTAAAATATGCAACATATTGTGATACACCAACATGCCAAATATCACAGTATACGTCAAAACATAAGATACTTCTTACCTGGATGAACCTAAATTTTAAATAATTATCAATTTGACCAAAGTCAAAATATGAATTATGATGGTAAGCAACACATATGCATTGTCTTATGATAAAACATTCACAGCCTCCAGCCAAATATTATTAATTCTCTTTCAAAAAAACAACAAATTTGTGACAAATTTATGGCCAGAATTTGTCTTTATGTAAGTAAATAAATAATTTGAATATTGGGGATAAATGTCAGTCAGTATTGTTGGTACCAGACACATCATCTAATGATGTTACAACCATAAGCCAAATATATCTAGATGGTTTTAATTCACAATTCTGTTGTTTCTTTAAATCTTTAAAATTTACATAGCAAAACTAGTTCAAAAATTTATATATTTTGACCTTGACATAAAAGGTCAAGGTCATGTTTTTCATCACATTGCAGAACACGTTTTTATGATGGCTCACCAATATGTCAAATATTAGACAGGTAAGTGTCAAGAGAAAAGGATCAACAACAAGCATTCTGTGAGTATTGCATGGCAATACCTAGTCCCTTACAGGTTAAAAGTTCATTGTATTGGATTAAAAGGCTAACTTGATCTATAACTTGTCATGATGTAAACTATATTTCAAATATCAAGTCAATATCTTCAAGCATGACGAAAAAAAGTGTTGAAAACTGATTATTTAAGTGAATCCAAGGACAATAACTCTGCACAAAACCATCAGACCGGAATAAAATTTGAACTTGTTCTGTAACTTGTCATGATAAAACTTTATACCAATTATCAAATCAATATCTTCAAGCATGATGAAAAAAGTGCGGAAAACTGATTATTTGAGTGAATTTTCTAAGTTCAAGGACCATAACTCTGCACAAAATCATCAGACCAGAACAAAATTTGAACTTGTTCTGTAACTGGTCATGATAAAACTATATACCAATTATCAAATCAATATCTTTATGCATGACGAAAAAAACTGCAGAAAACTGATCATTTGAGTGAATTTTCTAAGTCCAAGGACCATAACTCTGCACAATATTATCAGACCGGAACATATTTCGAAATTGATCTGTAACTTGTCATGATAAAACTATTTAACACATTTGAAATCAATATCTTCAAGCACGAAGAAAAAGTGTGATAAACTGATTTGCCAGACTGACGCATGGACAGACAGATGGACAGAGTGCAAACCTAAAGTCCCCTTCAACTTCGTAGGTAGGGGACTACTAAGCAAAAGAAGACATCAAATTAGATTGATTGATTGATTGTTGTTTAACACCACTTTCAGCACACTTGGCTTTATCATGGAAGCTAGTTTTTATTAGTGGAGGATGCTGGAGAGAACAAGCGACCTTCAGCAGGAAAACTGGCAATCCATGTCAATTAAGTCAAATACACCTGCCGTATACAGGGTTCAAACTCACAACACAATGTTGACAGGCTAGTGATACTGCAGGTGAACTACTTAAAACTACTTGCACACCTAGGCCCTAAATCTTGAAAAAAAACATAATGATTGATCACGTAAGTTGAGGGCATTTCAAAACATTTCAGTTTTTGAAGGATCTTCATTTTATAATGTTAGAAAATATCCATTCAAAGTGATGTTTGGAGTCTTCATAAAAAACATGTATAAGGAGTTTCCATTTTTATTTGAAAAAAGACTCTTAAATGGATTTTAAGATGGATCGACACAACATTTTGTTTAATTCAAGCATTTGAGATAGCAAAAACTAAAAATCCATTACGCAATTTGAGATTTAAGATAGTAAGTGGTAGAGCTTATTGTCAGGTGTCACTGTAATGTACATGATGTATAGTTGTACCCAGTAATTAGAATGTTAGTAGACAAGTAATTAGTATTATATATCTGTAATTTGTTTACTCATTATTATTCTCATACATCATTAGGACATGTCCATTACTACTCTTTCTCGATCCATCAAAATTTCTCAGCAATTTTGACAGGACAGAATTTCGACCTAAATGTAAACTGTCTGTGCTATGAATACAAATCTTTAAAATGAACATCAATAATATGACAAAATTACAATTCTGTTTCAAATACACACAATTATTCCACCACATTTTGCTTTTGTATTACTGTTTATTTAGTGTTCGTTATCCATTTGGCAGTATGGATTTTCTGATAATGTAAATACTGGAAAATTGATATCAATTTGTTTTACAACATTGAAACTGACATCCAAGATACAAGTTACATTTCAAGTAATTGATCTGTCAGAAACTGAAAAACTTCTGCTCCTATTTTAACCTTAATTTATTCCAGCAGACTAACGTTCTAGTTACATAAGGGAACTATATAAATCTGATCTATATAAACCAAACCAAAGACATGGAAATATTTGGTTAAATTACTATAAACATAAACAGTAAAATATTAATGAGGGTCATGACAACTCTTATAGAAGTATTCTGTATTTTTTTCAAGAACTGAAAATTTTCACTAAAAATATAATTCATATATTTCTACTGATCTATCTAGTAAATTCTCTCTTAACTATGTAAGCCAAAAGAACAAGTCCTACAAAAATGTTGTGTACCATTTTTAAAATAAATAATACATTTTCAATTGTAAATCTGTAGACAAAGTATGAGGTCAAGGTCAGGTGATATCTTGCTGGCATGTAGACATTTCTTAAATCATTTTTACTATACCATTCAGATGACATGTACACTCTTTTTAATCTGGAAGTGAATACCTATAGACTATCATAAGTTTTAAACAAGACCTATTACTTATGGTAATCAAAAAACAGACCAAAACACAAAAGCTAAATATTGACAAGTGAACCATGAAACTGAGGTCAAGGTCAGATTATACCTGCCAGACAGACATGTACAACTTACAATCATCCCATACACCAAATATAATTGACCAACTGCTTATAGTATTTGAAACAGATCAAAACACAAAAACTTAACATTGACCAATGAAACATGTAAATGAGGTTAAGGTCAGATGATACCTCCCAGACAGACATGTACATCTTACAATCATTCCATACACCAAAT